AAAAAATGTAATATTGTGGCACGATAAATCAGCAAAATGATCCTTTGACAGCCATGGTTTTTTGTAACTTTATATAACTTACGGTATGTTTAAGATTAAAAAATACTTCGCATCAAGAAATGCATCAAAACATTTCGACAAAAAGTAACGAAAATGATGACTCGTGCCCGCCATACAGGATTTATAGGTACTTCATATATGCCCAATATATTCATGCTGTGAAGACGAACATAATCGTACGTCACTTAGAATTTTATTTATATTAGGCAGACGTTGACAAAGAAAGCAAATCACACCATCATGCAAACATGACATAACCTTCCTGTCTCACGCAGTTAGGTATTATACGCGCACGTGTTTTGAGCCCCGGAATACCTCCCCGCACTCCATTGCCAACGTCATTATAACGAAGAACAAATGATAGCAACGAGCGTTGTAGACAAAATCTGATAACCAAAAATGTTCGTTCCCGTGTAATAGAAACTATTTTGCATCGAAAAACGAATTACAAATTGATATTATCCGCGCACATTTTCTTGAGCCCTCGCTTCGCTAGTTGCGTGAGGAGTGGGAAATTTGGTTATTTTCACAAAAGGAATTTTATATCAAAGTGATTCGTTCGTTTTTCGATGCAAAATAGTTTTAATTACATGGGAAAGAACATTTCTGGTTATCAGATTTTGTCAACAGCGCTCGTTAATATTTATTCTTAAATCAACTAATGTTCGCAAAGGAGTGCGGGTAGATATTACGGGGCTGAAGAAAACGTGCGCGTATAATACAAAATTCCGTTCATGAAAATAACCAAAACTCCCCACTCCTCTAGCACCTAGCGAAGCGAGAACGAGCGGGCTCAAGAAAACGTGCGCGGATAATTCAGATCGAACGAGTGCCTCACCGTTGGCGCGCCTCCTCGTCGCTCCAGCCGAGCGCGTCCTGCAGGCGGCGCAGCGCGCGCGGAGCGAAGCCCTGCAGCGCCAGGTGGTCGGCGGCGGACGCGAGGCGCAGCGCGGACGCGCAGAGGGCGCTGGGGTGCTGCAGGCCGCGCGGGATGTACAGGCGCTCGTCCTCCGCGTGGCCCGGCAGCGCCGCGCCCAGCGCCGCGTCGCCCCGCGCCAGCGCGCCCAGCAGCGCGCCGTCCGCCTCCTGGCGCACGCGCGGCCACGCCGCCTCCAGGGCGCGCAGCGGCACCGAGTCCCCCTGCGCCGACAGGCACACACGTTCACATAACAGGCTGCTCCGGATTACTGAACGAATCTTTGCCTAACGCGCGCAGCTCTAGCGCTTCGCCATACACCGTCAAGTAAACACGTTCACATAACAGGCTGCTCCGGATGAACCGGACGGACTGAACGAATCTTTGCCTAGTGCGCGCTGCGGCTGCGCTTCGCCCTACACCGTCAAGCAAACAAGTCCACATTACACGTCGTTCCAATTCACTGCCTAGTGCGATTTCATTGGGCGAGTGTAGCGCTTCGCCCTACACCGTCAAGCACAGGCGACATGACATGTTGTGACTTAAAAAAAAACTGTTCCTCTTGTAACGATGTTCCAAGCCATTATTCTGTAATGGTCATGAAATAATTCTCCTTGAACTTGTAAAAACATCCTTGCGTTTTATCGAGCTCGGTATGTACAGTGAGAATCTGGGGCACACAGACTGTCTATCCAAGGACCATTGGTATCTTGAACTGCTTAACCTCTGTGACACGTACTCACAGTTGGTACTCCCTCTTGGCACTCTAATCTGTGACGTAGCCAGAACTCTCTCCTAGCCCCGCACCCCCCTCTGCGAATATCAAGAAAACATGCGAGAGCAGTAACGTAGATAAGAACACCTTTCGGTGCTAATGAAGAAACTCCAATTTACACACATAGTCTCTCTCCAAGGACACGAGCTAGGAGAAGCGAACAGTCATCCTGTCGGGCGCTGCGTTACGTCCTTAATTTCTGGAATTGAAGCTCCCGATTGGATGACAGCATCCTCCTCTCCTTCCAGCTCGTGACCTTGATGGGGCACTATGTTTAAATCGGAGTATAAATGTAGTGTGAATGAGTAATGTGCATGCGTGTTTTACGCCTCAGCCACTACTGTTATACTCGTAATGGGAACCACAGAAGCAGGCCATTTCCAAGCACCCCTGCTTATAACGCTGTTTCCAAAGTCATCAATCATTCAATTCATATCACTGAATAGAGATTAGTGGCATGGCTGCGGTGCTAATTTGTTGTTTAGTTGCTTTGGAGCTAAGTGAGAGTGTACGTAAAAAGGATAACAAAATAGGATTATATGTTATTACAATTTCCAACCAATTCTCCAAAACAGTATAGGTAAAGAGGAAATAGTTCAAAAGTTGCAAAGGAGATAGCAAACAGTTTGCAATTCTGCAAAAAAAGACAAAGAAATTATGTTTGAACCTACAGAGAGAGGAAGACGGTCGGACGGACGACGGAGACGACGAAACGGACGGACGGACGACGGACCGGACGACGACGAACACAAAGGGAGGAGAGAAAAAACACTCAGATAAACGAGACGGAGAGAGAAAAAAGAGTAAGGAGGGGAGAAGAAGGAGAGAGGAAGGAGAGGAGTAAGAGGAGAGAGAAGGGAGGGAGAAGGAGAGAGTAAGAGGGAGAAGAGTAAGCGAGAGAGGAAGGAAGAGAGTAAGGAGGGACGAAGAAAGAAGAGAGAGAAGAGAGAGTAAGAGGGAGAGAGAAGGAGAGAGAAGGAGAGAGTAAGGAGGGAGGAGAGAGAAAACAACAGGGTAAACACACCTGGAACAGTACGTGGGAGTCCAGCAATTTTTCTTGAGCTTCCATAGTTAAGTGTTCCAATTTCCAATCCTCTTCTATGCAAAGAACGCTGCCTGTTCTATGACACTCAATGCCATCCTTTGGAGACGAGTACAACATCACCACTTGCACAGCATCTCCAACCGCCTGCATCAACTTTTGGGCTTCTGCTTCATGCTGAAAGTCCAGCACAACAACTCTCACGGCAAGAGCCACTTTAACCAAAATGTCTGCAGACAGCTCCTTCCATACTTCATCATCCACATACATCCAACCATCGGAGACAACATGGTCCAACCGCTCAAGAAGTTTAGCAGCACGAATGCCTGGTGGAACACCTAGCACAACCAATTCTATAGATTTGTTCTGCACAAGAGCAGCATCTAAATGAGAACAGTAAGCATTTTCGAAGGCAAATACATGGCAGAGATCTTTCGCTCTAGCCCATTTTTGAAAGTGGTAGACTACTGCCTTTTCTATTTCATGGCTGCTCTCTGTCAAACAGAAACCGGCACTGCCCTCCGACCATGACTTAAGCCAGTTGATATAGTTAAAACACACACTCTGGCACGTGGATTCCTGGGGCCTGGGGCGTGGGTTCCTGGGGCAAAGAAGCAATTTTATTTCGTGTAAGATGAGACTGTCCACTTTGTCAGAAGTGACCTGATTAACAAATAATACTAATTGAGAAAGAAACCCATCCTGGTAAATTTTCAATTCTTCATTATCCTTAAACAAGTTCCACACCTGCAAATAAAACGTATATCACATCTGTGTCCACAATGAAACACTAAAATGTAATTTTTCATATGTCAATGTATTAAAATACACGAATTCTCCCATATAATCTTGACTGCTGTCAGGAAGCACACAAAACATATCAAAATCACACAGCCAAAAAACTTACATTGATACAGTCCTCAGATGCATTAGGCAGAAAGATTCACTAACCTCTACATCTTCGGGACCAAAGCGGATAATGTCGTTTGCCCCTCCGCAACTTGTGAGAAAGAGGTATTCATGAGGAATTTGCTCCCTGGAAGACAAAGCTTGTGATGGTTTGAAACCTGAGACTCCAGCTGTGGTCAACAACACAAACCAATTGTTTTCCAGCGGCACATCTATTAACCACCTGTCATCTTCTCTCATGTTAATTTCTCTATTCCGATGGAGATAGCGAAGTTTCTCAAAGGACCTGAAGTATTTTTCAAGACTAAAGTTACCTTTCCTAGTGAAATCCTGTGAAAATATAATTTGACATGTTACTTGCAATTAAAAATAATCCTTTGCACAACTGTTAACAAGAGGTATTTCTTTTGACATTCATAGAAATAGCTAACAATAATATATTTATAATGGCATTAGCATACATAAACCAGCCATGCCGACACTACACGCAATTTTCTTGAATAAATAACATAAGCCAAAGGTTATAGCTTGCCAGATTAAATTGTGAAAATCGCCCCCCCGCCCACACACACACTCCCTTCCTCCCTGATCCAATACGGAACCCTTTAATGCCACATGTTGTTTACATACTACATGTAACCACATTTCTGATTTGCATTTGCATTTATTAGCGAATTTTATATTTCCAAAAGACAGAAACATCCTAAACAAATCACGTAAGCAAGTTTTGGCATTACTGAATAATAGATGTTGATTTAGCCAAGATCGCTAAAGCATCAAGCACTCCTAGCCATGGTGAATTCAAGACTTGCAAGGGTTCGAATCTTCACCTAAAAGCATGCTTGTCTACTTTTATGCCTGTTGCTAAATGTACCGAAAAATACTTGAAGGAAAATTCAATAGATCTCAGCACTGTCAATAGGGAATTTACATTACCAATAATCTCTGAACAAAGACTCCAATATTCGATCTGTAAACAGCATTTGACTGCATAAGTGTGATTAAAATATTTCTATCTGAACTCTCTTTTTTTTTCTTGTTGAGTCATGTCCCAAATGTATAACACAACCAGCATATTTTGTATTTGCGCTTTGTTAATAACGTTAATCTGCCAATGCGAAGCAAATATGCATACACCTGTAGGTAGTATTATACACCTACTTAATTTAGACACATAAATATCAATTCCCCGGGTGGAATTCAAACCTGCAACCCTTCAGGCATGAGGTAGTTATGGCTCTCCAACCTTGGTTAACCACGGCTATCTAGCTCGTCCATGCTTGTTCTTTACCTAGTTATGCGAGTACAAATCCTTATTGTTATGTATGAGTTCTCATGTTAAATTTATTAGGTGGAGATGGGTCTGGCAAATGAAATCCTTTTACAATTCACTGTAACCTATCGCAAAATTCACCAATGTTCGTTTGTTCTTGCCTTGCATTTTTCCTTGTACAATAAATGCATGGCTTGTTTGCATTGAAACTAATTCTTATAAACCTTTCAAAATCCCTCTACTTCGAGGTCGGAAAAATTGTGTATGAAAGTTGCCCTTTTGTTAACACAGTGATCACTTAAGACAGGTTTCACTGTACTTTGCAAGTTTCTTTGGATACAGACATGACATAAAACAATATTGATTCTTTCAATTCTTCTATGGTCTTTTGACAATCTTTTCAGGCATTTCCTTCAGCTGCTCTTTAGAAAAAGAAACTAGATGGTGTATGATCTAGGTATATCTTGGTAGTCACAGCCATAGCCCCTCCAGAATTGTGTGGATCCCAACAGAAAGTATAATAAGAACCAACACACATTGCAATTGATGTATAGAATCTTTAGCACTTTGTGTTGTGGTAGCATTTGCTGCAAATGCAAATTAACTATTTCACCGTCTGTCTACTGATTAATGACGTGATTCAGAAATTGGGAACAATATCCATATGCAAATATCGTGTCATGAAAGAAAATGGGCCTCTCAAGAAGTATGTGAATGTGGCGATCCACACTCCTATTCTGTGGACATGCAGTTTCATGGAGGAGGTAAGGATTCTCTGGCACTCATCCTGAGAGTTTATGTATCTTGAAACACAAAATCAAGCTTAATCTGTAAAAGTATTCTCCATGACATCGACACCTATAAATTTTGGAAATAACCCACAATAAAATTATCTTCTCATTTGTTCATGGCTTACAATTTTTGCGCAGCCATAGGAGCGCAGGAAATAGTTTCAGTTCTTTTCTTATAGCCATGTGTGCAATGCTTAAAGAGATGGCACTCTCTTAAGCTAATACCCTTGGTTTTATAAAGTTCTGTAACATATTGTCAGAGATTTAAGAATGTGGTCTGCAGATAAACAGATAAAATGCAGTGACAACCACTTCTAGTCTACTGAACCTGTTTGTTGAAGCTTCATAATTAAATTGTGAAAGTCACAATGTAACACTACAGATTCTGGAAATTCAGAAACATTTTGCTTCACATTATTCACAAACTTATTATTTGCTCAAAACACACAAAATATGTAATTCAACATAAGTGAAATTTTCTTCATTAGAAAGGATCAAGTCAGCTAGACCAAACAACCAATTAAAATGCCTCTCCCCCAGAAAAAAAATCTGGTAGCACCATTGTATCCACAAAATACAATAATTTGATAATAAAATCATTGTAAAACACATGCAATTCTTGAAAGTGATGGTAGTACTCTGAATGAATACAACGGGAACTATTAACACCATATCAGATAAAACTCAACAGGTTTACTTTTCACATCATCAAAGTCAGCATACTTAAATGAAACTCAAAATCACCAAGCAGTTTCTTCAAATTTTATATGCCAATTAAGCGATCCTATCATATGTTACAACAAGGAAATGTGAAAGTATTCATTCAATTATCGTTGGAACTAATAATAAATTGTCAAATTGTCAAGATGAACTTGAGCCATCAATTTCTTCTACCACGACCATAATAATGTAGCATTTACTTGTCACCAGTCACAAATTACTCCTTTTTCCATAAGTTATTTTTCAATGGTATAAATAGTTACTTACACACTACTTCTACTACACACTAGAGTAAGCAGTCAGGTTGATTTTTTCAAAATGTTCCTTTACTTTTTAAAGAATAATTACACTTACAATTTTATATATAAAATATAATTTAATAATTTAATTTTAGTAAACACATAGGAGTAGAGGCAGAAAAAAGAGATTAGATGTGAATGGTTACCAGCCTGGCTCGGCTGCCATTTGAGTTGGCAGCATGGGCTGACTAATCTCAATGGGTTCCGAGATACAATACTCAGTATTTAAATTACATCTCAACAACTAATTCATACCCTGGAAGTCATCAGCCTTCTTGATACCATGTGTTTGATTTGCACAAGGTACAGAGCAGGTTGTGGTGCATAGATCCGTAGTACAATGTCGTCAAATGGAAATGCAGCTGCCACATTTAAAAACAATTGAAATCTGAGTCCACTCCTTCGAGCCCTCAGTGCCAGGAGACCAGCAATTTTATATTCAAATTCCAGACCAAAAGAGTTTGCTGTACCAGGCATACGGGGCAGATGAAACCTGTAACAGATAAAGAAACAAACTTACTACAAACATAAAATCTCTCTGTTTTTGGATAACCGGACTATTACATCGAGTTATATCAGAAAGAAAGGAAAAAAAAACACCCTTCTGCCCAATTACATGATAAAATGTTTCTTGTATCATCCTGCTGATAAAAGTTTCGTAAACCCTGAGGAAAATTTGTTTCTCAATGAATTCTATTGTTCAGTCACATTCCAGAAGGTTGTGCCATGGAAAGTCAAAGTCTTATTCATTCATCTAAGTGTCACCAAAGAAAACTAGGGGTGTTACAACTACACATATTTTCTCATATTATTAGTAGTGGTTAAGAAATATCAATAGAGCTCAAAAAATATGCAAAACGCCTTTTTATTTATTTAATCATTTTAAAAAATATTTTTATATTTATTATGATTATGATTATGTTTATGATTATGATCATGATGATTGTGATGTTTATTATTATTATTATTATTATTATTATTATTATTATTATTATTATTATTATTATTATTATAATTGTTACAATATTGAGACATGTTACAATTGGAATCACTTAATTGTTCTTCTGAAGCTGTTTTAAAACATTTCCATTTTATAACATCTGGTATCTATTTTTAGTATTTTTCATTATTTCGACCTTTTTCTTCCTTTTTATAATTATTTTCCATTTATTCTGGCTACACTTAATATTTCTTCGTAAGTGGAGGATTCAGGGCCAGAAAGTGTTAAAAAATCTAAACAAGAAAGGAAGATGATTCCAGAATTTTAGATTTTTTTCATTGATGCTGACAGGCTTTGCTCACTCGTGAGGAATAGCATCCTGTTTGAGTATGGCATCTGATACCTTCTGAGGACAGAGCTCTCTGTAAATAATTATGACCCTTGTTACACAAGTGGAAAGAATAAAAATTTTAATCGTATTTTCACTTACGCCGTTTAAGGGGTTCAAAAGAGAGGCCACAATAGCATTTCACAGAACATCATGAGTGAAGCAAATTCATAGTAATCACACCAAAATGTGGGGTGCCACTATGAATAATTTTCAGTAGTGAAATTCAAAATCATTCTTAGAGCAAATGAATTGCATTTGAACATGTGCAATCCAGATTACAAAGAAAAAAATCATATGCAAATCTCATGTTAATGCCAATGTAAATTTTAGTCACAATAAAAATTTGAATAATTTTAATTATGAATGTTTTACAACAACTCCTTTAAAATGGTAATTTTCCATTGTTTAGTTTTGCACCCACATTTTAACCTGAATAAATCTCTTTTTGAAAGCCTATTTTATTAAAATGAATGCCTTTTCGCCTGCCTATTTCTCTTCACTCTTTACACTCTCCGAGCACCTAACATTTAGGCACTCTCTCAGAGCAGCTTAAATTTTGGCCCTCGCAGAGCAACTAATGCCACGGCACTCTTGGCAGCTTATGTCTAGGCACACTCTCAGAGCAGTTTATGTTCCAGCATACTCTTGGAGCAGCTTGCATCTTGGCACACTTTCAGGGCAGCTTATGTCTTGTCACACTCTCAGAGCAGCTAATGCCTTGGCACACTATCAGAGCAGTTACGACCTCCCCTCTTTTGGAGCTTTGTGTTGGAGTGGAAAATGCAAGAATGCCTTTAGTTGGTTGGAGATAGTTTCCCTTCACAAATACTTTTTTTTAATCAGATAAAACATTCTTTTCTCATTTCTTTATTTATTGGTGTAACTTTGACTCTGTAAGTTAAACTTAATTTTTATCTTCTTAAAATATTCATGAATCACAAGCTATTTTTCAAACCCTTTTATTTGGGGGGGGAGACAAAAGGGGCCGGCTGGACACTGCATGTCACAGAAGCAATAATGAATACTAATCACAATATTCTTAAAAGTTAAATTCATTATTACTTCTGTACACTACAAAAGCAGAGTTAATAATTAGGCTTACATCAGAAAGTGTACAATACGCATTTGAAGTCACAGCTATACTGAGCAAGCTCACTGAACAGCTGGAGTAAATTTGAAGATCAGTTATCTTTTACTGGGCATCTTTATTTTCTTTAGGTGTCAAAGATGCAGGATATGGTGCCTATGGTATTTGTTACTTTTTGGCACTCCAAATGGTTTACATGGCTTAGCTGCCGTGAAGGATCTACCAAGAGGACTGGAATAGTTTCTTGTCTTTATTAGGGCTTGTTACTATTCTTTTTGGGCCAGATCTCAAAGGTATGTACACTCAGGTATGAGAAGAATCAATGAGAGTAATGCAGGGAAAATCTCTCTCTTTTTTGGAAAGCATGCGTGAACAGTGAGAGAGAGTTTTCTAACTTTTCACCTACGCATTGTTTACAGACTGTCAAACGGACAGAGATGAAAAAAAAAAGCACTTTTTTGGTAGCAAAATACCTTGTAAAATGTTAATTTTGAGTACGTTACACATTCAAGAAAGAAATTTTCTAGTTAAGGAGAAAAAAAACACTTTTAAAGTATTATGAACTAACAAAACAAGTTTCTCTGTCAAAAAGAAGGCATTTTTCACTGAAGCGTTATACACAATTTTCACTTCAATATGTAGTATAGGAGAAAGAGTAACATGATGTGGGAAAAAATAAACCACAAGATGGTCATCCTGATATAACTCAACTGAAATAACTCGACAAGAGTAAATTAGTCCTGCAAAGAAAAATAATTTAAGAAGAGTTGATAGCAAAAATCTAAACATTTTGATATCAATGGTTTTTAGACCTGGTAAAATTTTGATAAATAATTTATGGTGTAACATAACAAAACACACTTTTGTTTGCTTTTGCTTTTATTTATATCTCTGCACCTATTAAAATGGCTGCCATGTTTAACACACAAACTTTTAAATGAGCATTACTTTGAAACTATTTCATCTAGAAACACTTTACAGACTCGCCTATTACTCATCTACTCAATTAATAAGACTCACCTCTTGTCTTTATCTGCAAATGAATTTTCTGAAATCATCTTCACATGAGATGGGTTGGAAAACTCTGTGGATTTGGCCGATGTTTGATGACTTGCATCTTTTAATACTGGTCTGGGTGGTACTGCCCACATGGGCACTAAGTCCCGCAATTGTACAAGAGAGCCCTACAAGCATAAATGACGCAACATGAACAAATCAAGCAAGAGTCCTTTGGCAGTCTCAGAAGCATGGCACCTGATGAGGCAAATTTAGCATACCTGATAAAGCACAGTTCGATCCAATATATCCTTTTCCTCCTTATCTTCAACGTTTCGCTTTATATGCTCCAACCTCCATATCTCTACTAGCTGCCCCATTTTTGGTGCTGCTTCACTATGGGTTACAGAGCAAACTCTCACCAATTTCACCATATCTAACACTGCATTTATCACATCACCAAGTGATTGGCTCACTTCATTTGCATCTATTACCAAGACTTCAACCTGAGGGGCTTTGCACAAAGCAGTCAATAATGGAGCTGGAAACTGGGTCAACAACTCTGCACTTGTGTATAGCCAGCGATCTGCAAACTCTTGATCCAAGAGTTGCAAGAGCTTTGCAGCTCGAATCCCTTCAGGGACGCCAGGAACTATGACTCTCAGGTGCCCCTGCTCAAGAGCCTTCCGGAGCTCTGCACAGCCATCTTCCCGAAACACAACGGCTCCATCCCCGGCAGCAAGGCGCGCATGCCTTCGGATGTCTTGGGCCAACACCCACTCCAAGTCTCCAGATTCCTCACTGAGGCAGTAGTTGCTGTCTGGGTCCTGGGACCACTCGCGGAGCAGCTGTACATAATCCATTTGGTGATAGCGAGCGTTAGGCAAATGACAGCCAAACAGACCGTTCAATTCTTCTGCAATCAGACCATCTAAATTTTCTGCATGCAACTGATTGCATAAAACTCGAAAACGGGGTAGGAATTCATGTTTGTACGATTTCACTTTCTCACAGTTCTCTCCTTCAAACAGGTTCCACACCTACAATAACAATAACAGAAAATTGTGGAGAATGCAATTCACTAGTTCAAACAACAGCTCACTTAAAATGATCTAGTTTAGGAGTTCACACCTGCTCATCTTCAGGAGTGAAAGAAAAGGCACTCTGTTCTCCATTTGTCTTGAAGATGTCCTCAAGAACAGGCAGTATGCTGTCCTTAAGAGGCTGGAGTTGAGGTTTCAGGGAGGATCCTTCCTTGGTGGTGTAGAGGACAAGGAGTACCTCACCCTTGCTGCTTTCATACAGGACACCGTCATCTTCCTCAATACCTGGCAATCCTGTGCCACTTGAGAAAAGATTTTGAAGACGCTCATAGAAGTCAAAGTATTTGCCCATGTGGGTTCTCTTTTCCTTCTCCACAAAGTCCTGAAGAAGCAGTTTCAGAATATTTTGCAATACAACAATGTGAACTAAAAATGTTTTAATATTTAATTCACTGGAATTTATTAAGATGTTTATAACTTTCATCCATTTTTTTTTTATTATTATTACTGAGTTTTCACCAAGTTTCTGTAGCTTTTCCATAACAAAATGTACTCTCTTTTGGAATTATCTACAAGTCTAATCTTTCAAAACAGTTTTTTTATGTGGAATACTGTATTAGGGTAAGGTAAGAACTTTTACAGTACATTCACTTCAAGCAAAAATTGGAAGTTATCCATAAGGTCTGGATAAAAATAGGCAATTGAGAGCTGAATCCATGGTCGACACTAACAGAATAAGGGATTCCTTCGGTAACAAGATATTGTTTAAAATAAGAGAACACATATAGAGGTGAGTTCACATATATTCTTTGAATGCTAAAGGAGAATATCCGTAAGTGATTGAAAAAGTGGTAAAGTACCCTATATTCTGCCTGTCTGTACTTTAGTTACCACACTCAATTATTCATACCAAGTGCACTTAATTTGATTAGTGAATTTATTAATTAATCATAAATGAACTTTTTCAATGTTTTATCCATGTCTCTAAGATATGTTTTCAAAGTACAAAGGATGTATTGCATAAAAAAAAAATAAGATATTCTAAGTATTCATTTTAATTGTATTTTGAAGTAAATGTTAGACCACAAAAAAGAATGTTCTCCAGAAAAGGCCAAATGAGGCATGATGTAAGTCCATCATTGAATACTTACATCATGGAATGAGGAACACTTAAGGAAGCAATCAACATCACTTTTAGTTGGGATGGTTTAATTGAGAGGTCATTCATTGATTCACCCGTTTGACAATACGAACTACTCCTGGAAAAGAATCGCTCACTTAATGGATATTCATTTTCAGTGTCCACTACGGATTCAGCATTAAAACTCTCCGCATAAGTTATTCGTTCTCATTGCTTTCAAATTTATATTCATGATTGCAAAAGAGGGTGCTCTACTTACCTCTACATCAAGTTGTCCCTTGGAGTGCAAGAGATCCACAAAGACAGTGGCACCACCCACGTGAGATGGCTGCGCGTTGACTCGCAGCACAAGGTCGCTGAAGGGTTTTGCAATGATTGCCTTGGTAAATAGCTCAAAGGGCAAACGTGCTCTGCGTGCACGCAGTGCTACTAGTGCTGCAAGTTTAATTTCCAGCTCTACACCGTGCATCATGGCTCCACCCTTGACTCGCTGTAATCGCGCTGATGTGGCAGAAGCTATGAAAACCCTGCAAACAGAAATTCACACATTCTCTCAATTTCTTCACAATGCAAATTAATTTCAATAAGATTCCTATAATACTGCATCAATCTTTTCTTTCACTCAATCTTTCCCAGCCCCCTTTCCCAGCCTTTGTTTCACTGGGTAGGCGGCCCACGCCGCTAACCACACTCTCCTCCATATCAATCCTTGATCCCTTAATGTGGACCAGTGTGGTATGGTTGTGCCTTCATACGGCAACATTCAAAAGCTTTACTGGTTTACTTTTTTCACTGGTTTGCTTGTAATGTAATGCAACCTAAAATAAACTGTATTTTCTTAGCTTCTACGCAGATGTTACTAGTTGTAAACGCATTGTTTTTGGCCTCAATATGTGTGTGTTAACAGGAAGTGAAATAAATAAATTAGATTCTTTTAACTGCTAGTAGTGATCTACCTAAATTAGATTATGAAGGTAATATTTTGTGTTTAATCATTTTCTGCGCATAGCGCTTCTGCGCTAATTGTTGTCCTGTCCATGCACGTATAGCCCGTGTTGCTGCTTTCAGGTAGCATGTTTTTGCAACTTTTATTACTAATCTGTTGATAAGTTGCTACATTATTCTACTAGAGCTCCGAGTACTATGAACGTAATACCGTATTTACCCGAATATAAGACAAGTTTTTTTCCAAAATATCTCGGTTGAAAAATGTGAGGTCGTCATATATTCGCAGATGAAGCCCAGATACACAAAGTCACAGATATATAACGCACCCCCCACACATACACCACACACACACACGCACAACCACACTCACGCATACACACACACACACCACCTCTCCCACCCGCTTGAATACCGCATGTGCAACATTGGTCCGCACACTCATGTGTCGTTACAAGTGTTGGTAATTACTGGTTGCTACGCGACCTTGCAGAAACACTCCTGCCCATCTCATGACTGTGCAGAATGAAAGGGTATTATTCCTAACAGCTTCCACCAATTCCCTGCGACATTCTCGGGCATTTCTTCCATGGAGAATGGCTATCTTGAAGAATGAATGCTGATCAAAAAGGGTGACATTCACCTCACACAGCAGTAGTCAGACAACATAGCTCTCTGTGCTAATAGAGACACACAAAGCCATGTGTTGTTGTGAACACAAAGAAGAACAGCATTTCTTTCATGCAACAAATAAAATTATATGGTCCAATAAGAATTATTTTGGAAAAAGAATACTTGTCATGACTTTTGCCCCTATCCTCATAGATTATTTTAATTCCAACTACAGATCATTTTCATTCTGATTTCTGATTTTTAATGTTTAGTGATGTCTGAAATCTCCAACATGTCAGTGCTGTTATTTTATGAATAGTCATGTGTTGTCAGTTTGTTCAGTTGGAGTACAGTAATTTCAATAATAGTTTTAAGTTGCTACTTATGTTTTGTTCTCCACAGTACCCCTCCTTAGCAATCTTATTCTGATTTCCTCAATGAATTCCGATACAGCAATTATTTATATATCAAAATACCATATTTTTAATTAATTTCAAATATGAACTTAGACAATTTTTAAATTACATTAGATTATATTGCTATCCATTCTTTAGAAGGTTTATTTTTAGAGTATCTGGAAGCTTATTGCTCCTGTAGATTTATAGCCAACATGTTTGACAACTACTATCAATTTGATCAGTTATAATAACATTGCTTTCTTCATAGATTGAACTCCAAGCAATATATTCATCCTCCTTAACTCAGTAACTGGAGAATAACCCAGCTAAAATGATACTTCAGAATGAAAAATTAATTTCATAAAAATAATACTTAATCATCATATCCAATACTAACTAATGGTGCAACAAAATCACACACTTTATCACATTATTTTTGACTTTTGCAATTTCTGATAATTCAGAGTTCAATGAATATCAAACATACTCCATTTTTACAAGTGTCCTTCAATATATTTGAGAAACAGATTAAAGAAAAATATTGGAGACCTTGAGAAAATATGGTTTTGATAGTGACTTACTCCAATTACTTAACCATTGGAGAGAAACTTTACATTAACTCACTTCTCTTTTGAAAATTGTAATGTCCTCGAAATCTCGCCCATTGCTTGGTTTGCTTGTAATGGAGAGAAAGACTCAGTATGCATCAGCATGCTCGTCTGTGGAATGAGCTGTGACAACTGAGGATCTGGATTCTTGACCCATTTCGGCACCAGGTCACCCAAACGCACGTACAAACCCTGAAAAACACAAAAAAGAGCATACTGACACAAGAGACTTCCTAACGATATAAAAAATAATTTTTCAGTAATGCAAAATGAATATTTAAAGTTAAAAGTCAATGAGCTTGAATTACATACAGAGGAATAGTATGCAAATGCAGCACACCTAGTTGAAGTACTTTGCACTATAGTCTACCACATTTTCTGATGGCAAAACAAAGTCGAGGTTGCTAAGGGTTCTTGTTTAAATGTACACATTTTTTGTGTGTAGTGTTTGTTGATACGCAACATTAAATTGCCAACCTCTTGTTCAGTACTGATATAATTAATAGTTAAGTAGAGAGCATATTTAAATATTCTGTAGGCCACTGGTAAAGGTTGTAGGATATTACAATAAAATGTACGAAATTAATAAAATGTATAAAAAGTTATGAAATGTTCGTTAAAATATTCATTTATATTTTATTTGTTTATTTTTTTCATGGCCATAGTTTGGTCTCAAATTATTGTTATGCCCAACATTTCTACAGAGATATCAATTTAAATTAAAGTTTTAATAACGAATAATAATACTGAACTGTATATCTCAAAAGCTAAAATTTTCTAAAATTAAATGTTACTAAGAAAAAGATAAAAAAAATTGATTTGTACTATGAAGAATTTAACTTCAATCTGATTATTCAAATTAATCTGGACTAAATTCAACATGTTTTACTTATTACATCTCTTCTAAATGTGCTTAAATTGAATTTACAATTACACACAGTCTGATTTTGCCCAAAGAAAATATGGAGGATGCCTTTTCAAAAAGCTTCAAATATGGAGGCACATCATCACTACAGACTTCTATCATTGCCTCTTACTGGTCTGAGAATTGCATGCAAAGCCATTAATCAATCTACACCCTTTCTTCCTAACACTTACCATTTTCCGTGAATATTGAGCTCTAACACACCTAAATGTAATATCACAAACAAGAAAGTCATTTTAATTTTTTCTACAGTTGTTTTAACATTTATTGCAGGTTGAAACACAAGAATGAATACATTCTTGATGAATCAAATAAAAAGAGTACATGATGTCGAAGCCTTTCTTGAAACTTAAGAGGAGTCATAAAGCCCTATCTCTCCCATGTTAATTTGGCTGTACATTTGACCCATTATCTTAGAACCTGTACACTATTACTGTGAAATTTTAAGAGCAACTTGATGGAAGTGTTTTAAATAATTGGTACCATATTAACATATTTTACATGATTTTTATAGTTTATTTGAAGTGAAAGTCTAAATTCACTCTCTAAGGATTTTTCTACCATGTATTCATTAACGCTTTATTAATATCCTCCTAAAGTTTTGACTTATTACTTGAGTAGTTTCTGATTAATAAGACAAATGTCTTCAAAAATGTCATTTTTCAGAAATCAGTGTTTAAGTTCAATTTATGAAAAATCACTGTTTTTCAAACATCCTCTTAGTGACAACCAGCTCCATAGCAGGATTCATCTTTCTAAACATAACATAAATGATAATAATTAGGCATAATCTAAATTATATGAAAAAGTTTGTTCTTGTGTAACTTCCTTTTTGAAGTTCTTTGAGGTGAATCATTGGTAGAACTACTGCATGGTTGTGGACTGTCATTTACAGGTAAATCAATCTCATCACCATAATTTTATGATGATTTACTATATTGAGTGCCACATAACAAACCTATCTTAAAAACAGTTTTACTTCTTGTCATATCTTGTTATAGATATCTTGTAATAGTGAAAGCAAAGCAAACTATTCCCGATTAAAAGTCTTGTAAACAATAGGATTCATCCTGACGAGCCACTCTGTGGGCTCTGTGTCAGTGCTTTCCCTGTCGTTGCTCTGCTACACGCATTCTGCCTCGCAACTCACCTGATAATGCACTGGACGATCCAGTAATTTCTCCTCTGACCTGCACACCAAATGCTCCATTTCCCACTCCTCCTCGAGCTGCTGAACGCATGAGGTTCCTTCGCTATGCGCAACAGAGCACACCTCCACTAATTTCACCTTGCTCAGCACTGCACTTATCACCTCATTGAGCCCTGGATTCACCTCGTCTGTATCAATCACTAAGATATCAACCCACGTCCTTTTGCACAAAGCAACAAACACTGAAGCTGGGAACTGTATCAAGAGTTGTGGATTAGCATACAGCCAACGACTTGGAAAGTCACAATCCAACACTTGTAAGAGCTTGGCAGCTCGCAACCCGACAGGAATGCCAGGCACAATGATCCTTAAATGATTCGCACACAGCGCCTCCTTCAGAGTGAAACAGTAACTGTCCTTGAAAGTAATCAGACCTTCTCCCGCCACCTGTCGTGCCTGTCTACGAACATCTCGCGCCAACACCCACTCTACATCAGGGAAGTTCTCATCGATACAATAATTGCTGTTCTCATCCTGCAACCACTCCTTAAACAGCTGTATATAGTCCATACAATGGTACTGTACATTGGGTAACCTGCAGCTAAACAGTTTGTTCAACTCTTCTGTGATCAGGCAGTCGAGGTGGCTGGCTTGAGATTGGTTGTATAAGACCCGAAACCGGGGTAGAAACTCATGGCGGTAGACATCCTCCAATTTCTTTCGTTGAAATAGATTCCAGACCTACAACAAAGAACAAATTAGGATCTCTAGAGAAAGAACACAACCAGATGATCAAAATCAGATTGCTCAACTGATTGATTAATTGATTAGTGTTTCCAGACACGCCAACAGCTAAGATCATAAGTCCCTAAAGAGTAGTGCATGTTCTAAATCGCCGGAGGTAGCAGTGTTCTTTTCCAGCTGGATGGTGAATTCCAGTGCCAACATACACATCAGCTTCCAGGATTTTCCTCAAGGAGTTATCTCCCATTAGAGCGGTACTGTCCCACCCAGGTTAAGCCCTAAGCTTCCATCTGGCCTCTTAACATGTGTGGTAGTGTAGTGCATGCAAGTGTAAGTAAGGGTTGAGGATAGAACAAGGATGAAGGAGAAAAGATTGCATGCAGTCTGTGGCCCACAGAAAAATACCGTTCAGAGTAGCCAGCCGTTAGAATTCTCTTCCACACAATGACTGAACTCAATGTAGCTATCTAGCTAGTGTCGAAAAATCCTGCCACCGTCAGAAATCGAACTCTACGACATAATGGTCAGAGGTACTCCAGTGACATCAACTGATGCCCTGATTCACCTAAACCAGTACATTGCTAGCATAGAATGCAAAATAAATATTTAAATAAAAATGTGGTATAAATAATAACTGATTAATTATGTCCAAAGACAGACATAAAATAACCCGTTACCACACCCCTTTGTACTATATAGTGGGAGGTTAAAATTTACTTTTTTTGCATTAGACTTAAAAAAATTTGTTTTATTGAATACATTTCACTGAATTAATTCTACTTATATTGCGAATTACAAGATACTGTGGTAAGCATAAGATGGTGCCTAAGTATACTTACACCATCTTATGACACCCTGTCTGATCCAATATTGAAGAACTGTTCTTTGCGATATTGTTTATTTTTAAGAAGATTAGGAAATTGTTATATTTCATTCAATTCCTCATCTTTGACATTTCACTTTTCAACAAAAACATTAATATTCTAACAACATCAGTGTTTCTCTTGGTTCCTTTTCCAGGAGAGAAATGTCACAGTTAAGTTTAGTGAAACAAAATCAAACTTACACAAAAATTGCATCTAAAAACATGTGAAATGCATTTTCCCCCCCTGAGAAATAAGGAAAAACCATAACAGACTAAGTAAATTTTAGTACATTTTAGTTCATAGCGAGTTTGGAAAATTAATGTTTTAAATTAAAAACATGTTTTACTTTTTTGACAGTGAGAGAGAGAGGATTCAGAGGGAATAAATTCAATTTCCACCTAAAGCAATATAAAGACAGCATTTTGATCATTCACAAACAAAAATATTTATTTGGATTGAAATTCAGGAAATTATGATAATTTGAATTTGGTTCATTTTTATGGTTTATTTTTCAGTAAGCTGTTTTTTCAGCAGTGTGTTAAAGAAAAGGTTGGCAGTTAAAAAAAGACCCAACTTGTGAACATTGGACAAAGAGAAATGTAGTAAAAAAAAACCTATTCTAAACCAATTCAAATCATTGCTTCATCACTACTTAACAATGTCTTCACACCTGAGTGTCCTCTGCTGTGAAGAAAAAGCCACAATCTTCAGCTCCCCGTGTGTCTGTCCTCAGAAGGTTCTCTAACTCAGCAAGAACCCCCGTAGTTGATGCTTGTGGTAGAGGGCGTTCAGCTGGGAGGTCCTTAGTGGTGTACAGAACACACAGCACATTATCGAGACTGCCCTCGGCCAGAATGCAACTGTCTTCATTGCCTTCTGGCAGGGTTGATTTCTGAGCAAATAGAGTACGAAGCTTCCGGAAAAAAGTGAAGTATTTACCGAGATATGTCTTCTTGCCCTCCTCCACAAAGTCCTAGATAAAATTAATTTAATTAGTTCCTTAGATACACATCCTACTTAAAAGAACTACTAATTAGATCACACAAAAAGCTCTCGTGTTCAAAACATATATAGAGTTTGTTCTTAATGAACCCACAGAAAGGAAAAGCTCGTATCTTTTATAATAATGTCAAAGCCTTGAATGAAGCAAATGAATGCAAAGAATACCAGAAGATTTCAAATAATTACTTCTGCCAAAACTATTTTTTTATTCTTAGATCACCCATATATTTCATAACATACAATTTTATAGCTTTTTGAATTTATTTTGTTTCAGTTTTACCAAAATGAGAAATTTCAAATATATTATATTTTCTGCTCATTGAAGCCTTCTATGTAATTTTTTTTTCATCATCCTACTACTAATTGACCCTTCCTGAGGATGCATTTCAAATACTTCACAAGGTTAGGAAAGAAAGAAAATATCACCTACAAAGTTCTAGGGTGGACTCTCTTCTTGCAAACACAGCAACTGCAATACTGAACATGAGAAAGGTTTGATCAAACCATATCTCATTCATTTAATGTTATGTATTTGTATGCTAAACATCAACAAAATTGTTTATTTGCCAATCATTCCACAACTCATTTTGTCTTTTGTAATTGTACGTTAAACATCTCAGCAATATTTTTATTTGTCCCTTCCTCCCACCATTTTGTAAATCATAAAATGATGAACAAGAAGTGAGTGTGAGAGGGCATGATGAATCAACCAATTTTTCTACTGTCATCACAGATGATCAACTATGGATTAATCAACCTTTAAGCATTTATACAAAATAATATGCTTTGGCACATATCATCTCACCCCAAAATTACTGCAATATACATTGAATTTCTGTAATAATCAATTTAAGTTCTAAACAATGTTTTAGGCAGATTATTTCCAGAATTTAATCCTATCAAAACCCACATGACACACACAATCTTATAAAATAACACAAAAAACTACAATTCTGCCACTCAACTACACATGTTGGAACTTGGATTCACATAGCTTATATATAATGCATAGAGGAATAGCATATTAAACTTAGTTCTCGCATGCTCTTCAATATACCTGAACATTTATTACGCACCCTATGTAGAGAATAGGAGGAGAAAGAAGAGCGCAAGGAGGTGTAAGAGGGTTGAGGAGAGGGAAGAAGAATACAAAAAAGTGGAAGAAGGGCAACGAGAAAGAAGAGTCAACAGGAGGAAGATAAGCGAGGAGGAGAAGGAAAAAAGGGAGGAGGTGGAAGAGGTAAAACATGGGCCGGGAGGAGAAGGCAAAGAGGTGGGAGATGGGCAAGGGGCAGAAAGAAGAGGCTGAGGAGCACAAAGAAGAGAGCCAGAAGATGGAAGAGAGATAAGGAGAAACAGAGAGTAAGGATAAGGAAGAGGAAGACGAAGAGTGACAAGGAGAAAAAAGAACGAGGAGCTGGAAGAGAAATGAGGAGAAACAAGAGTGAGGAGGTGGAAGAGGGACAAGGAGAAAAAAGAGAGCAGGGAGGTGATAGAGGGACAAGGAGGGAGAAAAAGTGAGGTGATGAAAGAGGTACTAGGACAAATAAAAGAGCCAGGAAACAAATACAGCAAGGAGAGGAAAAGGGTCGAGAAGGTGGAAGGGAGCCAAGGAAGAGGAAGAAGAGCCAGGAGAAGAGCAAAGACAGCAAGGAGAAAGAAGAAAGTGAGGGGGTGGAAGATGGTCGAGTGGGAGAGAGATGGTCGAGGAGGTGGGAGAGAGATGAGGAGGAAAAGGAAGTCAGAGGTTGGAAGAGGGACGAGGAGAAAGAAGAGAGCGAAGGGGAGAAAGAAGAGAGCGAAGGGGAGAAAGAAGAGAGCGAAGAGGAGAAAGAAGAGAGCGAAGAGGGGACAGAAGAGAGCCAGGAGGTGGAAAAGGGACGATGAGGAGAAAGAAAGAGGAAAACGAAGAGAGGGAGGAGGTGGAAGAGGGCGAGGTGGGATCGGGCGAGCAGACCCACCCACCTTCTCCGCGAGCTGCCCCTTGGCGTGCCACAGCTGCACGTAGAGCGTGGCGGGGGCGGCGGGGGCGGGGGCGGCGAGGCGCAGCACCAGGTCGTCGAAGGGCCGCGCGGAGCCCGCGCGCGCCCACAGCCGCACTCGCACCCCGCGCCGCCGCGCGCGCAGCGCCACCAGCGCCGCCAGCTTGAACTGCAACTCCACGCCGCGCATGGTGGCGCTGCCGGGCACCCGGCGCAGGCGCCGCGCCCCCGCGCCAGGCCCGGGCCCCGGCCACCGGCTGCAAAGAACCCGCGCGCGCGCGCGCGCGCTTTAACTAAAGTCGCCGTACACCGTATTCGACGCAAGCAGTGTGGATCAGTTGCTTGCTATTTCCCGAGTGACGAATATTCGGTGCTTGCCTTTAAGGTGGCTCCACACATTCCCCATTCGCCAGGTAGGCCGCACGCAACTGTCCGCTCAATCTCGAACAACGAACATATTCGACGATTGATCTGGGCTGTCCGGGTGACCCAGACCACACACATGACTCTGGCCGCAGAAGCCTACGACTTCATGTTCGACGATTGTTCTTGATGTGTCTTAAAGACCGATACGCCGTGGGTAGGGCGAATATTTGGCGCTCGGCGAATCGCGAGCAACCCGTCCACACTACTCGGGATTCAGCGAGCGGTTGCTCGGGATTCGCCGAATGCCGCATGTGAGGAGCCGCCTTTACCCACCACGTTTTGGTCTTTAGATCACATAAAACTGCCATCATTCGCCGAACACGTCATCAGGTATTCGGGATTGAGTGAGCAGAACCTCGTGTAGCTCGCTCCTCGGCTAATGCCGAATGTGTGGAGCCGTCTTAAGGCGAGCACCGAGTGTTCGTCACTCGGAACACTCATTAGGGCTCGGATTCTGATGACGTCATCTTTTTATTGAGGCATTCTAGACGTAGCCAACTAGTAAATCGCAATATACAGGTGATGGAAACGCACATTAATCGAGTCATTTTCGCCTTTCTTGCCAATTTTGCGTCCATTTTGTCACGTTTGCGTATTTTATTTCCTTTTCGTGAGTTTGTCAATAAATATTTCATGAATTTACAATGACTTACTAAAACAAACTTTTTATTGTATCATCGGTTCATAACAAAATTCACTACAGCAATGGACTCGGTAACTTCCTGGACCTTTCAAAACCGACGGTAGGAAGATCGGAGCTAAGGATTACATTTCCTCTTAAAATGAACACTTTGTATGAAACATAATTTTATATAATACATTTTATTTAAAATTGTACGATTCACTGTCAACGATTGAACGTTTGGTAACGCGTGGTAGCACAACGCTCACGTGTCTCCGGCCTAAGCTTAGAATAAAAAGTCAAACAATGTCTCATTTTGCATATTGGGGATGACAAAAACTCGTTTCTTACTTAATTATACATACAATATATATATATTATATATATATTATAATAATATATATATATATATATATATATATATATATATATATATTACATGTATGTATATATATATACATGTATGTATGTATGTATATATATATATATTACATGTATGTATAATTAATTTCTAAATACGGGTGACATGTAAGACCTTTCCGGTTCTACCCGGTAGTCCGTACAATTGTTCAAACGATACCATAGTTTTTATAAATGTGATAGTATGCTTTTTGAGAAGTTTATCAAACAAGTGTTATCGGCTAAACTTCGGGACTCGTCATGAAATAATATTCAAGTTTTCATCCCTGGTGAGATCGTAAGTTTGCTGCGGCAAGATCTGTACTTCTGTACGATTCTCGGTGTTTTAAGTTTAACTAAAATGAAAAGGTCAATGGAAGAAACAAAGAACCTTTTTGGAGGCTCGGATGGAGTACCCAAATTTATGGCTGGTACCTTCCCAGTTTAGTACGTCTCGAGTCAAACATTGCCTGTTGGCCAAACCGCATGTAGCGACATTCACACGTTCCATCTTCTGCGAGTAAGTGTTCATAAAACCGAATTTGAGACAAAACGTAAAAGATGTTTAATATATTTATTGCAAATATTCCTTCATTAAAACAGCGAAATGTTCAAAACCAAATGTTCCACATTTTTACAATTATCTCTGCAACTATAAACGATAAGAATTAAAAAGAATTAAATAAAGAAAATATTTTTTTTAAAAAAAACAAGTGTAATACTTACGGTTTTTCCATTGGTTCCGGTCCAGGACCGCCAATTTGTCAATCTGAAAGAAAGTCGATTTTTAACGAAGATACCTTCATAAGAAAACTACAAAAATAATTACAAAACTCACATTTTAAAATCACCATTTATTGTAAAAAAAAGTATTAATTAAAACTTTTCACATCTAAATCTAAAAGTTACATTAGCACTTTTTTTGAAAAGAAACAATAGTTTCTTTGTTTTCTTGTTTCCACAATACCACCAGACTTTTTTATGCACACTATATGAAAAAAAATTATTTTTCAATTTCGCTTTTGAACTTTTTTCTTAGTGATGCACTAAATTTCGTTATGTTGACTAGAAATTCGATTCCCTTGTGATGCTTTCCCGATGACATGGTTTTGTGCACTCCCTTTTGAATCTGGGAATGGCTTTAGTGAAAACATTATCATAGTTTTTGTTCTTTGCACTTGTGCAACCACCAGCACTGAGCAGGGCTGCAACTACTCAAACTTTCGAATAATTATACGTGACCTTATTTTAAGATCTAACTTAGAAGAACAGTATCATTAAAGAAGAAAATCTCTGCCCTCAATATTGTAATTGTCGGAAGATGTCAAACACATTTTGAACTCTTGCAATTCTTGAAACTTCAAACAGGTCATTGAAAAAGAGATTGAGTCAATTTTTAAGCATTTTTGCTCTATTAGAGGGAAAAAAGTTCAAAATGTAGGAGCCATTGCCTTGAGAAAATTTTGGAAATTATGTTAGGGCTTCATGTAAAGTACACACAAAATTCAAGCCATTTATTTCAAATTCACAAGACCCATTTTGTTTTTGTTTTTCCAAATTTTTAGCAAATAATTAGAAATAATGCATCCATGGCTAACATTAGCACCCAAAAGCCCAATGCAACTGTCCAAAATTGATATTCACCAATCGACCTGAACGGCTTTGGCAGTTTCAAATGGATATTTTGATTTTTGAGGGTTCTTTACATAAAACCTCAAAAACATTTTAAGTTTTCTTAAAAATGGCTCCAAATTTTTTGAATAAACTTTGTTCTCAGATAGTGTAAAGATGTTAAAAAGGGTGAAGGTCTCATATTCGCTGAAATCACTAATTTTTCAAAAATTCTAAAAGTGCACATTTTTGGGATGCTGATGTGTAACTTTTAGATTTAAAATAAAAATGTGAATATTTTTAAATAATAATTTTTTTAAATAGTTATTTTTAAATGGTGATTTTGCATTTTGTTGACTTGTACTTTGCATGCACCCCTACTTTTGCCAGAAGAAAAGCCTATTTGCATGCCTATTTTAGTAAAAATTAAATGCCAGTTTACCTGCCTATTTTAGATAAAAATTAATGCCAGAACTTGTAGGTTCTACTTATGATGATTCATTGTCAAAATGCCTAATTTAATTTCAGTTTTCAAAAGAAGTTCATTTCTATTTCATCATAATGAAGTTCATTTTCATTTCAGAATACTGTACATTTATCACCTTTCACACCATCATAAGCCAGAAACTTTACACAGCACTTGTCAGATCTCCCCACAAAGGCATATATGTTGAGATGTAATGATAATGACGTAACATATGATTTACGTGAGGAAGTATTGTAATGATGTAATAATAATGAAGATGGAAGATCAAGTGGTCAGTAACAAGAATGAAGATGGAGAATATGGTGGAATGACTGAACAAAGGCGAGCCAAGAACCCCATGGCTATCTGTTGTGATCCCTGAATGTGTTCTGTTCTCCACAAATTCTATTAGAAGTGACCCAAATTTGTATCTTAGTTCCCAGAGATGTAAAGTTAAGTGAGCTGGCCACTCCGTTGTCATGCACTTCACATTGCAACTGCCATGGTAAAGTGTATCTTCGTATTTTATTTGAAGAGAATAGGGGCAAAAGTGACCAAAAAATTCATACATTGAAATTCATAACATTACCAGAAACTTTCTTAACGGCGGTCAAATATGAGAAATGAAAATTGGAAAATTCAAATTATTACGGAAAATGAAAAGCATCGGAAAGTACCCTGACTGTTATGTAGGCTATCATGGCAAATTCACAATTAAAATTTGTCTTCCCTTTTTCATATTAAAATAAAGAACAATGAAATTGATGTTAGAAACATATTTTGAATAAAGATATGTTCAGTATTATAGACATGTTCTTGAGTATTATAGGCATGAACACTTCCTCAAAAACAACCATTTTAAGTAATTCTTCCTTGACACTTAGCTTTTCAATTACCTTGATAGTCACGAAAATATTACAAAAGGTTTTTACTCTGAAGAAAGCCAAGTTAAGTTGTCCATGTGAAAATACTGTAGTGGACAAGCACGACCCTACTCTTTGGAATATTATTTAACTTTATAACCGATTTGTGAGGTACACCTTTGCAATTTAATCACCTAGAATATCAAGTAATAAGTTTAATTTCACATACTGTTGCAGGTTCTGCACTTTTCTGAACGCAAATACATGAAGGGTTTTTTGTTTTTGTTTTTCCCCTCATCCTCCTTTCACAAATACTTCACATTTTTCAAGCTAAAAAGCAATTTGTCATGTCTCTGTGGAATTCTCTTTTTTTAGAGAACTCATTTATAAAGGTTTCTTGTGTGAGATAGCCGCAATAGGTATATATACTACTGAAATAATATAGGAGATAAGAAAAGATACCAACCAAGGCTATCAGGTTGTAAAAATTACCAAGTAGAGTTACTGGATAATCAGGATGATATTCAAAAGAGATGGAAAGAATATTTTGAGGAGATATTGAATACATAAACTGATGAAGTGAGGGAGTACTACAGCATATGAGAAAAAAAGGCAGTGAGGCCATTTATTGAAGGGCCCAGTATAAACAAAATACAAGGAATCATAAAAAAAAACTTAGAAATCATAAAGTAGTGGATTAAAATAACTGCCCAGGAAGGCCATGAAATAGAAATGAAGTGAAAGCAAATTTGCAGACAATGAATGTGCAACCTTGGCAAACAGCTGCCTAAGATAGAGATTGA